GTGAAAGTTAATGTCTTGAACTGTTAACAAAGACAATAAAATTTAACCAAGACGGTGAAAGTTAATGTCTTGAACTGTTAACAAAGACAAATAAAATTTAACTTACACGGTGAAAGTTAATGTCTTGAACTGTTAACAAAGACAAATAAAATTTAACCAAGACGATGAAAGTTAATGTCGTGAACTGTTAACAAAGACAAATAAAATTTAACTTAGACGGTGAAAGTTAATGTCTTGAACTGTTAACAAAGACAAATAAAATTTAACTTAGACGGTGAAAGTTAATGTCTTGAACTGTTAACAAAGACAAATAAAATTTAACCTAGACGGTGAAAGTTAATGTCTTGAATTTTAACAAAGACAAATAAAATTTAACCAAGACGATGAAAGTTAATGTCTTGAACTGCTAACAAAGACAAATAAAATTTAACGTAGACGATGAAAGTTAAATGGCAACTGAAATATTAACTAGTAAAACGTCAACAGTAACAAATGAAAACCGACCAAATATATCGAGCTGTCAACGATATGCATTTCATCCAACTAATATCTAATGTGCAAATATCTGGGTGCTGTTGGAATTACTTATTACAGATATGAATAGAAGAAGAAGATACAAAGAAAACGGCAAACAAAGGAAGAAAATGAGCTTTGTAAAGTTTCCAAGTTTACACTTATACACCCTAAGTTTGTTTGTTAAACCCCTATGGTGCTCAGACATGTGCATAAATTTACATAACAAATGAATGGTTTTTCTACTCAACGTTTGCTTGAACTATTCAACTACCAATTGTGTAATATTATATGAAAAGGGGGTGTCCATTTTGTGTAGGGTGTGGAAATATTTTTCCTAAGTGTAGATCTAAATTTTTATATCGTTTTCAATTCGTTTATACACACTTAGTGTTAACGTATTTACCTCTGCCACCGAATGTGTTTAGGTGTTTGTCACCAACATGTTTCGATAACGGCTGAATGTATTTGGACGAAATTTGGTATACATTTGGACTACGATCCAACTTAGAAGTTTTAGGAGTGTCAAGGTCACCGAAATCCAAAAAATCCCTATCTGTTAACATGGGTGACCGATTTTTCACACTATTTTTGCTCTGTAACTCAGTTATAAAATGATCGGATTTTGATGAAACTTGGTGGACATGTATAGAATATTATTCCTCATTGTCATGACAAAAATGGTCCGTATCCGTTGATAAAGACGGAAATACGGATACATTTTTGAATATTTTTTTTTGCTGGCCGAATATGATCAACGCTGCGTGGCTGAGGTACGTGCTGTATTGAGTGCCCCTCTAGTTTATATTTGGGTAGAGATCTTCCTAACAAATGTACGGACCTAGGTAGTGTATATATACACACACTTCCCAGGTATGTATGTACCTTCCTAGTTTATACAGACATTGTTAGTCGGTAAGGGCCGAAACTATCAATAATACCGAGGGTATCGAACTGTTTAATTAGTGAATTCTAATCATGATCGATTTTACTTTTCTTATGCTTCGAATTACTTATTTCTGGTCAGTTTATTGTATGTAATTTATAACTTACTTTTTAACTCTAATATATATATAGTTAGGCTTACTTTTTAACTCTAATACATATAGTTAGGCTTACTTTTTAACTCTGATATATATATAGTTAGGCTTACTTTTTAACTCTAATATATATATAGTTAGGCTTACTTTTTAACTCTGATATATATATAGTTAGGCTTACTTTTTAACTCTAATATATATAGTTAGGCTTACTAATTTACTGATAATTAGTATGCATCATAATATATGTTTATACACTATATACAATTAAGATCGTGAAATTATTTTGATAAATACAAAGATATTGTATTGCAATTAAAATATACCCAACTGTATTTCTAATAGTAGCTTATGTAGCATATGCAACTAGCATTCTATATACATTTCTAAAATAGTTACATGTTACACCGTTACGCATAAATCGCAAAACATCTATATTTAAAAAGATATTCTACATTCACCAGGATTTACAACTCACATATTGTTT